TGCAGGTGCAACTTGTTGCCTCAAGATTGCACGTGCTGTGACACGCCTTAGGCTTTCCTTGCCTGGCAGCATTGGTTTTTTCCCGGGCAGGGCAGCAGGAGACACGGCAGTGTGGCTCGCGTGCAGGCGAGCTGCGGTTCGGAGATGCATACTGCCTTGCTGCGCGCCGGGTTGAAGCACCGGTCCTTGAACGCAACTACAAGCACGGGGTGCCAGTAGAATTATCGCTGGGGAAAGCGCTTTTGGGTTAGCGCTGCGCTTAGGGGATGTCGTGTCATTTTGCGCTTTGGCTCTTTGCCGGGGCCCAGCCTGTTCTTTTGCGATTGGTGCGGGTAGCGGGTCTGGTTAGGCAGTTGTGCTCGTCAGTCACCCATGTGCGTGATTCTGTGATGAACTTGCGTGGAGAAGGGAGCCGGAAATGATGCCCGAGACCTTTCCACGCACTGGCTCACATGTATGAAGCAAAAAGCCTTCCAACACACACACACACACCCGCGAAACATACCCCCGAAACATACCCCGAAACATGTCCCCGAAACATACCCCCTCCTCAAACTTTTTGGGTTTGCAACGGCAAAAAAATAAATTCAAGGTGACGGTGGGTGGGGGCGGGGCGGGGTGAGGCGGGGTGGGGATGATAAGTAGTGGGGCGTCAGTCAGTTGCATACATGGTGAGAGAAATGCAGGGTGACGGGAGGGTGGGGTGGGGTGGGGAGGGGATGACAGGGTGACGGGGGTGGGGTGGTGTGGGGTGGCGTGGGGTCAGCTCTGACAAATGCGAGGGTCAAAGAACAGCGCGGTCAGTTACAGCGCCGTGACAACGCTATTCTTGTCATTGTTCTTGTTGTGCTTGTTCTTGTTCTTGTCGCGGTTGCGAGGTGGCGGTGGTGGCGGTGGTGGTGTTGGCGGCGGCGGCGGTTGTCATTGTCGTGGTCATGGCCGTGGTCGTGGTGGGGTGGTTGCTTTTGTGGTAGTGGTTGTTGCTGTTGGTTGCTTGCTGTTGGTTGTTTCTGTCGTTTTTCCGACATTCAACATATGCTTCCAGGTGCGGTTTGTGAACACGTTGCCCAATGCTTCAGACACAAGGGGCGCGACCTGCATTTCGACGTGACATGTAATCCGGACAGGAGCAGAGGCGACGAGAAAAGGGAAAAGGCAAGGGCAAAGGCAAAGGCAAAGGAAAAGACAAGGGCAAAGGCAAGGGCAAAGGCAAAGGCGGGGCCCAGAAATCTAGCTGTTTTCCTGCAAATTCTGTTTTGGCCACTTCGGCTGAGGAAAGTCCAAGCATGGAAAATCCAAGGGCAAGGGAAAGTGATGCAGAGCAAAAGCTGGTGCTCAGCTTTGAGAAGGGTGTCGCGCGTGTCGTGACGCATGACAGAGCCGGGCTCCAAACGGGGCCCACTCAGACTCAGTCTTCGGCCGGTGTTATATTTTGCGGCATGGCACTCTAGTAGCTTATGCCACGCCTGAATATTGTTGATTATACACCCTGCACATTTGAAATTCGGGCAGGTCCGTTTCCTGCCCTGCCAAAGAGCTGACGCTGGCAGATTTTGGTAGCTGAACCTCGTCTTCCTAACTGTTTTCAGGACACCAGTGGCATGGGCCAGTGTTGCTCTTTTACGGTCAGGCCGGACGTATGCTGGCGCAAGGCGTGTGACCCCCTGCAAGGTCATTTCCATTTAAAGCTTGGGCTTAGCATTGCAGTCAATGTTATGCTTGTGGCTGCCCAGCAAGAACAATCTGGGGCTTTGAAATTGAATTGAATGAATGAGCTACCACCTCCGGTCAACTTCTTTTTCTGTGAGATATTCAAAAAAAGACCCCTGCTGTTGATTCTGCAGTTTTTCACTTGGAGTGGGCGCGTGTGCTTGCTTGCCAGCAACTTGGTCCCAGGGATGTTCTCAATAAACCGTCCCGAATCCGAAATTCCAGCGTTGCGGGCTGCAAAGGAACGTGGATTACGTTTTCAGCCTAGCTGGTCCGTTCGAATAACTGCCTGGTTTCACGCAAGTCGGAGACTCCGTGATGACCAAAGGCTCCCTTACAGCAAAACTGGCATCACTGGGAGCACCGGGGGAGCCTCTGGGAAATTCCGCAGCGGCGAATACGTGCTAACGACAGACAATTCGTGAAATGGCCAAGGTCAACAGGGGAGCGTGTGTCGTGGAGCATTGCAGGTCAGTTCAGTCAAACAACTCAATCACTGCTCCGCTTGGTCATGCCTCGGAGTCTGCGCCCGGCAGAACAACGCCGGGTGTCTGCGACGATCTGACGCGTCGGCCGTGTGAGCATCGAACAGTGGAGCTGCCTTTTTGTGACTCTGCGAGGCTTTGTCAATGTTTGCATTTTTCTGCGGTTCACGCTTCAAGGATGGGCTTGTGGCTTGCAAAGTGCTGGCTCGCATCTTGACCCCACGAACCCGGTGTCCTGCTGTCGCCTGGCTGAGCCGGTTTTGCCCAAAGATGGCGACGCAGACTCAGGTCGCCGAGGTCACCGATTGGGTGGCGCGGCATGGCTTCGAGCGTGTGGCGCTCCAATTCCCCGACGCCATGCTGGCAGATGCCGTGGGTTTCGTGAAGGCGGCGCGCGAGGCGCTGCCGCAGGCAGGAATGGCGAGAGCCGAGTTCCTTTCACTTCGATGACTTTTTGTTTTCTCCCATTGCAGGTTTTGTTGTTGTGGTTCTTTTTCTTGTTTTTGGCTGGGGGGGAGGGGGGTCTCGAAACCAAGAAGCCCTGGCAGGTGCGGTTCTTCATTCTCGGAGACTCCTCCTTCGGGGGAGGGGGCGTGGATGAGGTGGGAGCCCTGCACTACGGCGCGGACTGCATAGTGCGGTTCGGGCACGCCGACCAGCAGAGAGGCGGAAGTTTACCTGTGCTCTTTGTGCTTGGCAGCGGGGAGGGGAGCAGCTGCCAGCAAGATGCTGAGAAGGTGGCTAGAGCACTTGACGGCTTGGGGAACTCAGTGCCTTGTCATTGGTCTTGGAACTTTGGGATGGAGGGCAAATAGAGCAAAGCTGTTTCACTTGAGAAGTAGAAGGTCGGCTTTTGCCACCTTTTGGCTTGTTGCTTCTAACTCTGTAACACGCTTGCTTCGCGCCTCAGAATGCAGCCTGCTGCCCATGAGATTTCAAGCACCTAAACTTGGGAGAGTGACGGGTCCAGGAAGTGGCCCGCCTGGTGGTCATCAGCGACCTCCAGTGCCAGCACCTTGCTGAGCCTCTTGCCAAGGTGCTGGCGCGTCGCTTCGAAGGTGAGCACAGAGCGTGGCAGGTGTTAGTGGCCAGACCGCGGATGGAGGCCTTTTCTGGAGATGTCCCAGCTTGGCACGACTGGCGCTGGGGGTGCCTAGACCTGACCTGCTCCTGGTGGGCCAACCTGGGAACCCTCACTCTGGCTGGGGCGGCGCGGCCTTTCCCATTGCGGGCCTGCGGCCGCGAGGTTGCAGCGCTGGAGACGGCAAATGTGGAGACGGGCTGCCAAAGAGCGCTGCTGTGGGGCCGAGAGCTACCGCCCCACAGTGTGGTGCTTTACGTGGGCGCCCAGGGCACCAGCCTGGAGAGATGTATCCTGCTGCGATATGGGGCCGACCTTCCGGTTTGGCGTCTGCAGCCAGGCACTGCGCCAGACGCGCAGCTCGAGCGGATCTTCAGCCATGGTCTTCTGCAGAGGCGGTATCGCTTTGTGGAGCTGGCACGGGCGGCTGGCACCGTGGGGCTGCTGTTGGTGGCAGCTGGGGGGCCAACCGCCCTGGGCCGGGCCTTGGCCCAGCGCCTTGAGTTCCTGCTGGCCAAGGCCGGCCGGAAATCCTACCGCCTGGTGGTGGGCCAGCCCACGCAGGAGAAGCTGGGCAACTTCCCGGAGATCGAATGCTACGTGCTCCTCTCCGGCCCAGAGCAGTTTCTGTGGGAGGTCCGGGACTTGATGGTCCCAGTCTGCACGCCCTTCGAGCTGGAGGTCGCCCTGGGCGCGCGAGAGTGGACGGGGCAGTACATCACGGACCTTGAGGAGCTGCTGCTTTCGGCGCCCGTGACGCAGAGCCTCCCAGACGGGGCCAGCACCGAAACTGTGGTGCAGACCCTGGGCGCCGCTCGGCTAAGGCACTTTGGCGCTGAAGCGCAGGCGCCGCAGCCGGCGCAGATAACCCAAACCACGGCCCAGCTGCAGGCGCAGGCGCAGCGACCCGCGCCAGCTGAAATTACTCCCGGCTTGCATGGCGTGCCGTGGAAGTACAGCCAGGAGGAGTCCTTTGAACATTGAGCGCGCAAAAAGGCAGATGCGAAAGATGCCATGGCGCATTAGGACATGTGAACATGCGCTTCATGCGTGCTGCATCATTTGAGCGGTTAGCTGATACCAGGTGCCCATAGGTGCCCGCAAGTGCCCCGATGTTCGCAGCATCATTCGTGCCAGCATGGCGTCTCTGCGGCGCCGGCGTGGGCATGACAAGCGCCACCAGAGTCACAGGCACTGGCAGCGGCCTCGGAGGCTCCGGAGGCTCCGGCACCTGGTCGGCCTGGAAGCCACTCCTTGCGCTGGGCATCGCCAAGTGCGGCCGGAGCCGCGGACGGGCCGCACGGGGCCTGCAAGCGCTCGCAGAAGTGGTCGAAATCAGCGCCGAGGTTGGCTTGGGCCTGGTGTCGCCTCAGGGCGCCAAGGCGGGAGCTGTTTTGATTGAAGAGGATCCTTTGTTGCAGACCTCCAAGGACGAACGGCTCCCCGAGTCCGCAGCAAGGTTCAGGACCCTGCCGCAGGGCACCAAGCAGAAGCTGCTGGCACTGGCGGCCACACCCGGCCAAGCTGAGAAAGAGGTGGGCTTCAGTGGTGATGAGCTGCGTTTCGTACGAGTGCTGCGCACGAACTCTGTGTCGGTGCCTGGGGCTGGCGGCGCCGTATATAAGACAGCCTGCCGGGCCAACCACAGCTGCAGACCCAATGCCTCCCTGTGCGTCGGCCCAGATGCCAGGATGCGGCTGAAGGCTTTGCGAGACATTGAGCCTGGGGAGGAAGCAGGGCGGGCGGGCTTTGGGTTTCAGTCATCTCAACTTCCTCAGGCTCTTGCGTTGGGCCTCCGGAGGCAACATGTTTGGTTTTTTGCTGTAAGCGTCGCCCCGGAATCATTGCAGGACATCCAAGTCTCGTACATTGGGGAGGGAGACCTGCTGCGGCCCACCCAGCACCGGCAGAAGCAGCTGGCCAGCTGGGGCTTCAAATGCGGCTGCGTGCGCTGCAGCGGCCCGGAGGACACCCGGGCCTTCACATGTGCGGCCTGCGGCACCGGGCTGATGCACTACGAGAAGTCGGAGGCAGGAGGGACACGGAGAGAACATGGTTCCTTCTTCCTCAGGATGCACTTGGGCCAGTTCCAAAATCACCTTCGACATTTGATTCAGAGGATCTCCCTTTGCAAAGCAAATCCTCTTGAAAAAGAGTTGGCTGTTGACCTGCTGCCTTCCATTCTTTTTTCTTTTTTTTTTTTTGGGGGGGGGGTATGTAACGCAGCCACGGCGGACATTCGTCACACACACACACACACACCGCTATATGCATAGCTTATGAGACCTGCTGGCTTGTTACATTCCCCCCTCGTGACTTACCTTTGTTACAACTTACAGCTGTACATGCCAAAACTGCCTGGCTGCCCTCTCGTTGCACACCCCAATGCAAGCTCAGACTCTGGACTGATTCCCCATGAGTGCCTGCAGAGCAGACGTTTGCAGCTTTGGCAGAGCATGCTTTTGCGGGAAATACTTGTGCAAAGTCAACTTGCAGAGAGCTGGCACTCGTCTGAGAAAGTTGAAGCAGGTAGCATGGAGGGGCCGGCAGATTCCTCTTTCTGTGCTATACCTCGTTACGTACCCAACCGTGACCTGGCTTGTGCTGAACAGTTGCGCTTCCGAGCTGGAGCTGTGGAGGCACTTTGCGTGCGGCGCTTGGCTTGGACCGGACAGTTGCAACTTTCGAGTTGGAGCTGCGGAAGCAAGCCGTTGCACGCCGACGTAACAAGGACCCCCCTTACATGTCTCCGTGACAAGATGGTTCCTGTTCTAGTACGGTTTGGGACGCCCCAAGCAATCAAACCTGATCTGCTTGCAAAAGGTCATAAAACCGAGGTGGGGAAATTTTGTTGGCACGTCAAAGAAACAGGTTGGGGTTGGAAGCTGGATCAAGGGAATTGAATCCGCCTCCCATACAACCTGCTAGTCACGCTGCCCCCAAATCGCGAGGTGAGCGGGCACCGCTGGGGCCCCTGCAGCTGCTGCCAGGCCGTGCTGCCGGCGGAGACACTGCGGGGTGCCGAGGAGCAGTGGCTGGACCACGCGCCTGGGCACTTATTCAGTGCTTCAAACAAGGTGCTGTTCTGTTAATGGCCATTGGATTGAGGTTGGATTGGAGGTCTGGTGTGGGTGTGTGGGTAGGCGGGTGGGTGGGTGGGCGGGCGGGCGGGTGGGTGAGTGGGTGGGTGATCCCCGCGGTTTGGGGTCTATTTGAAAACGAGATCCCCTGAAACAAATACTGCACTGGCAGCCCTCCATCTTGCACAACAATACCTGTACCAAACACACAGAGGCGACTGATGAGCCACAAATAGACCTCCGACCAACCGCCCAGGTGCAGTCTTTGCGGCCCGAGTCTCAAGAAGCATTGGCGCCTGTGATGGCAGCAGCTATGTATGACGCCTGGTTTGTTTGATACTGTGGCACTGCCAGCCCAAGGCCCAAGGTCAGAATTGGCTGTCGCTGTTGGGAAGTTGCTGTTTGGGGAGGGGTTGTGGCTATGGCGTAAGAGGCAAAGGGCACAGGGCCGGGGGGAGGGTTGCCGGCCCACTCTCTCAGGAGGGGCTCTGCTCGAGCCTTGCGGAAGGGGGGCCCACGGCCGGCCCGGCACTGGAAGGGCACTGGGTCTCCGCGAAGTTGGCGCGTTTGGCAGCGGAGGAGCTGGTTCGCCAAAGGAGGTACCAGGAGAGCCGGCTGGGGGCGGCGGGGCTGGCGGTGGGTTATTGTCACAGGAGTGCAGGGTCAGAAATTGGGAATTTGCTCTTGCAGGGCCACGAAGGAATACACCTGATTCAGTCTTTGATTTGTTAAAGAACCCATTCCCAAAGGACCACTGCCGCGGGATTCTCAGGAGGCCCGCGAGGCTGCTGCCGTGCTGCGCAGTTGCGTGGCGCATGGACCAGCAGTTTTCATCTTTTCAGGAGGGTCCAACCTCAGCCGTCCGCCAAAGGTGTTTTTACTTGGTGGAGTCAAGGTGGGGAACTCGCTTGTCCCCGGCTTTTGCAAGCTGGGTGCAGGAAGTGGGCGGCCTGCGGAAATGCCCCTGTTTTGCAAAGCAACTGCTGTTGAGCAAAAGGCTGTATGTCCATGCGAGTTTGAAGCACTTCCTTGCTGACATCCATCGAGCCAACCTTCTCCAAAGCACTCGGCTTTCGGATTTCATGCGGATCACTGTTGGACAAAAAAAGGCAAACACAAAACACCCATTAGTCCACCACATTGATTGCCTCCCCGCAAAAATGGACTTTGATAAGGAGTTTTCACCAAAGGAGATTCCTCTAAACCTAGGTGCTGCCTTGCGGCAGAGTTGTGTAGGGGATGCCAACAAAGCGGCCCTTGCATTTGGCAGTGGTTCAAAAATAGGTACCCAACATGGAACTCTGGTAAATGGAAACATGGGCTGAAACCTGCGGTCCAATTCCTGGTGGTTTAATTTTGACCCATACCCATTTGGCAACCCCCCGGGTGCTGTACCGAAGGCTACGTGCGCCGCACCCTGGGGAGTGCAGCCACGCGCGCCACGGCCTTCGCCACCTACATCGAGGCCAGAGCGTGGTGCGCCTCCAGCGCTTCCAGTCGCCCAGCCAGTCGACATTCACTCTGAACCAGGCTCTTTTGAGGACCTTGCCTCTTGATGGTTTGGAGCAACGTCGGAGGACAATCACAGTTCTGGAGGGAGGTGCCCATGGAAACACACCCCACCGGTTCCTCAAAGGAACTTCCTCTACCCTTGGATGGCTGTTTGGGTGTCACGTAAATCTGGAGGATGTTGTGGATCCACATCACTCATTGCGTCCCCCATCATAGACAGTAGCAAGGGGCACCACCATTCACGACAGGGGGAAGTCGCGCTCCCTATGCCAGGCCGAAAAACCTTTGTCGCTTCCCCGTTGTTTTTCCCCTTTTAGCCAAGGGCCGAGCCTCACAAAACGCCCTTGGGATTAGGGGCGCTTCGCACATCGGGACCGCTCTGGAGGCGTGGGTCCTGGCCGAGACGGGAGACCCAGCTGCGCTGCAGCTGGCGGAGCAGGCGGCGCAGGAGGCGGATCTGCTGCCGCGGAGCGGGGACCAGCTGAGGATCAAGGCCTTTGGTCCCATGGGTCCCGGTGGCTTCGTGTGTTTTGAGTGCCCATGTGCCATGGGTCAAAATCCAAATCGTACCCCAGTGAACATCCCACTCCCCACTAAAATAGACCAAAATGGGTGGTGCACTTACCCCAAAATGGTACCGTTGGTTTTGACCCACAGCCATGCAACAAAATCAAGGTGTGAGCTCGGCCTGAATGGGATCGTCCTTTGAAGCCAAGTCATGAGGGGACTGTTAGGTCTTGAGGGCGCCCGCTTATGGACGATGTAGAGGAAGGGCACTTGGAATTCCATTTGTAGCAAACCACTATCCCTTTTACGCAGCTCAAAAACAGGAATTGAGGGAGTGGGTGACCCCTGAAACTCAATTTGCAGTTCCGTTTGGCTTTTTTGTAGTCAGATGAATAAGAATTGCCCCCCCCCCCAACCTTTTTGCGTTGGGTTAGGTTTGGTTTGGGACTCTTCAGCATCTCCACTTGGTTGCCTTTTTTTGTTTTGGGCAAAAGGACATTTTTGAGCCAGCTGTGGAAGTGGACACCGTGTTTTTTGCCAATGCAAAAGTACACAACGTGTGATTTTAAAGCCCGAGAAGGAAGAGATCCGGGGCGAGCAGGGAATCTGGTGCACCAGCTTCGGAGATTCCCGCCTCCCCGCTCGCATGTTTCCCGAATTCCACCGGTGAAGTCTTGCCCTGCTACGATCCTGGTGGGGGTTTCTGTCGTAAAGATCAAGGATGGCTCTAAAAAGGGTCGAATAAGGGTCGATCGTGCTTTTTGATTGCGGTTGCAGCCTTGGAAAAACACCAGGCCCATGGCTTGGGGGAGCAACACATCACGGATGCTGATGGGCTTGTTTTGGGAGACTGCAATACCAAGCTGGAACTACGGTGCAGTGCGTTTGATGCAAGCGTTGTAGTGTGAAAGACCATGCCGCAAGGCCAAATTCTCTCATGTGGCTTTGATAGGTCCCTCTACCAGCATAAAACAGAAGTGCAATTTGCTTTCAACCCGTAGCTGGTGAATCAGACAGGCAAGTTCTTGTCATTCAGGGTACGCAGAAATGTGGATGAGCCTGCCTGTGCCAACCATTTCCAACTCACACGCCAAACCCTTGATGCCCTCCTTCACATTGAAGCGGAACCGATCAGAAGTTCTTAGGAGGAACGCTGCCTTGGAGTCAGCTGTCTTTTTAGGGCATTGTGATGTTTGGGACGTTTCCTTTTATTGCTGGTGCTCAGCAGGGAATGAGGGAATGACCCCTATCAGCCATCCCCTGTGGTTTCCTTTCAGGGAATCCCCCCAGGTTCATTGCCTCATTCCCTGCTGAGCACCAGCAAGTTTTAATTATATTTGTTTAGAATCCAGGTGGAAGAAGTGAAGGACCTGGCGAGGAAGGTGACTGCGTAGTCTCCAGACCTTGTCAGCGCGTCAGAAACTTTCAACACGATCCTTCTAAAAGTTCTTTAGGTTTCGCATTGAAACAACCCCATTAAAGAGCCCCCCCTTCAAAAAGAGACATGACAAAAAGCAAAAAATCAACAGATGGACCGCGCCAGGGCTAGTTTCATTTTGGATCCATACTATCCTTTCGACACCCAGCCTTGGACACCGTCCAAGGAGTTGAAAAGGAAAACATTGCGAGAGGGGTGGTTTTGTTGCCATGTTCTCAAGCATTCTTAAATGGCTGCCGTTTGCAGTCGAGCTGGGAAGAGGTTTTTCATGTTGGGTGGCGTTTTGTGATAGTTTCTGACGCGTGGAGCTGCCAGTGAATGTGAAGATGGCAGCGAGCCAATCCAATCTTCCATGTCCCTTTCCTGTACACGGGCCCTGGGGCAGGGTAGCCAAGTTGCTGTTTTCTGAGGTTGCGCGCCTCAACCCAGTTGTGCGGGTATATCACTACAAGTGGTCAAGCCAAAAAGGTGCCCCTTTTTCTACTAGGATCGCTGGGCAAAGTCTTCGGAGAAAGCAGAAAGCAGCAACGGTCCCTGTGCCCTGGCATTTCTTTGTTTTTCCGGCCTGCCGGGAGATATGGCCATGAAGGTTCGTTGGGAATCGCAAGGAACAGATTACAAATGATCCCAAAGTGATGTCCGGCTCTCCAATGAGAAGCACCATATCTGCTTGGCAGTGCCATGGTTTTCTAGCGCTTCGGGCAATCTTCAGCAGCTACTTGGTCTTCGAGTTGCATTTTTCTTGCAGCCCTGAGAGCTCGCATTTGGAATGATGACAAGACCATCTAGCTGGGTACTCTTCAGCCAATTCAAAATCTATGCCATGCAGTTTTGATTGGCGCTGCAACGTGCCACGTGCGGCAGTGCCTTGAAAAGGCAACTGGCGTGTGCCACTTTTCGATTCGAAGCACAGTCCGACGGGCTGGTGCTTCCAAGTTGAACTTGCTTGCTACATCCAATTTTGACGGCATTTCGGAGCTCGCTAAAGATGAATCATCAAGTCCACATGGTGCCTTGCTTAGCAGGTTACAGAAGCTTTTCTGCCAGTCATGCCATGACACGAGTATTCGCTTTGTCTCTTGCCAGTCGTCAATTCATATCAGACCAGCAGCAACGCCAACACAGTCCGAAACCCATTTCTTCCGGTCGAAAGCACCCCCCTCCCAGACAATAGCCAAAAAACGCTCACCCCCACAGGTGTAGTTTTGTTAGATGCTACTGTTTTCTTTCTTCCTGCGGTAAGTAGCACGAGGCTTTACACCTCTGCCAGATGCTTCTTTGGGTCCTCTAGCGCGGTGCGCTTCGACGATGTCGCAAGTGGCCGGTGCCTTGGGGAGGCTTTGGCTGCGAGACACCACGGGAGTCGTTCCCCACACGGTCGAGGCCGTTAGTTTCCAACAAGGGGCCTCAGAAAGCAAAAGGGGGAATCGAGGATTAGAACACCGTTTGATTGGAAAGGGGTATTCCCCAATTTAGAGAAGATCCCACAGCTTTCGGGGGAAGTACACCCCAATTAATCCGAGGTTTAGTCCTTTGCCACGATGCCCTGGCTTGCATGCCAGGACTGTCCCTTGCCCGCTCATGGATTCCTTTTTCATTTTTTTTTCCCCCCCAACAGCTGAAAGCTTTGGGGTCTCAGCCCAGGTAGGCTTCGGGGTGGTCCGGGGGCCCCGGAGGTAAGGTTCCACCAAGGTTCCACCAGTTTTCCACCAGTTTTCCACCAGGGTTCCACCAGGGTTCCACCAGGGTTCCACCGGGGTTCCACCGGGGTTCCACTGGGGTTCTAGCACAGTTCCACGGGTTCTGCGAGACCGCGTGCTGTTGGGGATGTCACCTGAGCTTATTTTTTGACGCGGTTTTGCAGGGAGAGCAGTTTCCCTCACTTTGAGCTCCCTGCATTTGGAGACTTGGAGAGGAACCTGTTTCCGGATCCCGTCCTTCTTTTCTGGGCACGCCCGCTGGTGCAGTGCGCAACTTTCACCAGAGGTGCAAGATGCGAGGCCGAGTGGCGGGGCCAGGGCCTGAGCACTGCCCGCGGCCTCAACGACGCTCGCGGCTCGCGCCCACGTGAGGCGGCGGAGCCTCAAGCGTCGGCAGGCGAGTTTGAGCGTGGGGCGCGTCGCTGCACACCGCCACACGCCGATCAGGTTCAGCAAGCTGTCGATGTTTGCACAGTCTCCCCATGGCCTTCGCCCTTTGTGCAGGAGAGCAGCCATCAGGATCCTGAGGCAGCGCCAGCGGGAGGTCTCGTCCAGTGGGTGCTGGCCTTTGATTTGCCGTGCGGAGGTGTGCGACACACACAGTGGTGGAAGTGGCCCTTTGCCCCCCTCTTTTGGCAGTCTTTTTCACTCAGGGATGATACAACCCAAATCGCCTGACCAGGCGACCAGGCTAGGAAGAGTTGCAATTGAAAGGGATGTGTGGGTTGTATGCGTGCTTGGTTCAGTTTGAGGCTCCAATTTACCTGTTGCCCAGAGGGTGCACGCAACATGGTGCAGGGTACCCTTTTGATTTCGGTGCGCAGCGTTGGTTCAAGAGCTCGCGCCAACTCTGCCGTGCAACGGCTGCTAAACACGAACTTTGAGCAAGCGGCAGCCAAAAGCCCTGACAAGCCGCACGCTGCTCGGACAGCCATGACTGTTCACAGAAGATGCGCGCACAGACATAAGCAGTGGCATACACCACCAAAGTGGCATCATTTGCGACCCACGCCCACCATTTGCGTGTACGAGGCTGGTCCTCGCTTGCTTGTTTGATCCGCAGGGCTCCTCTTTCATATGAGTCTTTTTGTTTGCTTTGTTTGCGCACTTGAGGCGCCATGGGCCGCAAGAAGGTGGGTGGCGATGGCGAGGGCGGGATGAAAGACATACAGCCACTTGGCACACCAAACCAATGTGAGGGGTCTACCAAAAGTCAGGGGGCGCCACGCCGAAACTAAGGAGTGCTTTTGCTCAGCTGCAGTCCATGATGTCCATGGCCAATCCAGACCTTGGAAAGCAAACTTCCAACATGGGCATGGGAGGACCGGCGGCGATATCGATGGATTACAGGGGCATGCGAAGAGGCAAACAACCGCTGAGGCTTAGGTCATGGCCGCCCAGACGTGTCAAAGTCCTTGTGGCATCTTGTGGCAGGTCTTGCTGTAGCCAAGCAAGGCCTTCCTTGCTTGCCATGCAACTGATCCAGTCTTGTCAGTATTTGCACCAGGAGGCATGGGCAGCATGGGCAGCATGGGCAGCATGGGTGGTATGGGCGGCATGGGCGGCATGGGCAGTATGGGCGGCATGGGTGGCATGGGCAATATGGGCAGCACGGCCATGGGTGGTGCTGGCGGAATGCCAAAAAGCAATCTGCCTGCAGCCTTTGCTGCAAAAGCCAAGCCGCCGCTTCCGCCGCCAGCAGCTGGGCATATCTAGGCATGATTTGAACAGGTTAGGCGGTGTTTGACTGGTGGGACTGCTTGTGCGGATGTATATATGTGCCTGCGACGTGGGTACTGTGGGTCGACGTGTGAATGACGTGGAAAAGCAAAACACTCGTCCCCGAGGCTTTGCCGCCTATGGAGCAGGTGCAGCAGATGCAGCAGATGCAGCAGATGCAGCAAATGCAGCAGATGCAGAAGCAGATGCAGCAGATGCCGCAGCAAACCACCATGGATGAGGATGGCTATGACCCCAACAAGATGTATGTGTCTGAGCATGGCCGGCACCTTATTTCATTGGACTTCTGGTTTAGAGGGGATGCAAATTTATATGCATGTGAACCGTAGGTCTCCCAGCATGCCCTGATCATCCTTTCGCATTTGTACATGAAGTTGGACTGCGCCGGATTGCAGGCATCTTGCTGCGACACACCGAGGCCGAATCCATCCGGACATCACGGAGCTTTGCGAAGGTCGCTCCACTGAAAATCAATGAGGGTTGTTCAAGAAGTAGAAGAGGACTCGCTTTTGTGGACGGAACATGAGGGGCAGTGCCCTTTTTTTGAACACGCTTCATCAAACCATTGGAATGCTGTGAGTCCGTTTGCAAACTGCCACGCGGTGAGATTGGCCCTAGCCGCTTTGGTCGGACAGCTGGCGCTAAACCCCGCTGGCCAGTTATGCCACATAGGTGGCTTTGATTGGGTCCGTTGGCCCTTGGGCTGAAGCCAATTCGCTACTCACCCATGGACTCCTGACGTTGTAGTTCTTGATGTGGCATTTGCGTACGAGGCTTCTACATTGAACAGCGGCACGTCGAGAAGCTGAATGAGCTGATGAAGAATCGGAGCTTTGGATCAGCCTTGAGAAACAGCACAATTTGCGCTGAAACCATGTTTGAGCGCACCACACCCTGCCAGCTCACCCCAACACATGCGGCAATGGCAAACAAGTTGCAAGTCCTGCCAACCAGGTGAAGCCCGGAAGCCCCTCAAAGATTCACTTTCAAGCTGATGAGGGAGGACGGCTTGCTCTAGTAGCATTCCACTATGAGAATGGTTGCTTCCATTGCCCTATTAGATCACAGCTTTGTGCACTGGTGCCTTTAAGAGTAAGCGTAGCCCTGAGACTGAAGAGACCAAGATGCCTTTGACAGGCACTTGCACGCGCACTAACGCGCACTCGCGCGCACTCGCGCGCACACGCACGCACTAGCTCAAATCAGGGTTATTTTTGTTTGCCCTTAAGCCAGCAGGCACAAGCAAGGAGACAAGTTGGACAAGTGGGGAGAGAAAAGGGGAGACAAGTCGGGAGACAAGCTGTGAGAAGGAAGTCAGCAAGCGCAAGCAGGGAGACAAGTGGGGAGACGCGTGGGCACGCCGTGACAAGGTCCGAGCGCAAGCAGGGAGACAGTGGGAACACCCGTGACGCGTGGGGAGCGAAAGCAAGCGCAAGCAGGGGCACAAGTGAGGAGACAGCAGGGGCAAACACTTGCGTGGCTCAGGGCAAGTCTTCGCATGAACGCAGATCCTCAGCAGGCTAAGCTGTTTGAAGACCAAAGTTTCCAGAACCCACTCACACATGCTCACGTGTGTGCACGCACGCTCGCGCGCACAAACACACACACACAAGCATGCCTGCCTGGAAAGGCTGGATACATGGGATGAAGACCTCAAGAAGCTGAGAGAGATCATGGAGAAGGCACGCTCTCCGTGACTTGGGATGCAAAGTCCTGGTATGTGCTTCAGGACGCAGGTCCCCGCCCTTCCGTTCCATTTTGTAAAGAGCTTGAACAGGATGGCAGCTGCATCCCCAGCCCATATTTTTCCTGTCCTCACCGAACCCAATGCATGTTAGCATATTTTACCATTCCTTTGAGGCGCTTTGAGGGGCGCCCTGTCATAGCGCCCCTAAATCTGATTTTTGTCTTTATCGCCCACTCACGCTGCCTCCTTCACTCCATCGACCGGCGCTACGCCAGCTTCCGTTTCACCTCTGTCCACTCCCATTGCCCACCCATCCAACGTTTGCATGGGCACCTTGATTGATTCATATGAGGTGTGGCATGCTTGTGGTGAAGATGAAGGAGATCGAAGATGGCACTTTTGTGGCAGTGAACCGAGACAAGCGAATGAAGCACTTGGTGGACAAGTTTGGGCTGGACAAAATAGCTCACACGAGCTTATCTGACATTTTGGCACGCTGCGCGCCAGAAAAGCAACAAGAGTACTACTATGATCTCGAGAGGCATTTCGAGTGCTCCGGCAAGCCCTCAGCCACTGCCATGTTGCTCATGAAAAAGCTTGCGAGCGGGGATCCACTGGGCCCACCCGGCAAGCCGGGTCCTGGCAGCTATTTGGACAAGATGCAGCGGGGCGAGCGGGGCGCAGGGGGCGCAGAGCGAGGCAACGAACGAGTCGACCGAGGCAAAGGAAGCGAGCGTGGCCCAGACCGAGACCGTGACCGAGACCGTGACCGAGACCGGGATCGAGGATTTCGTGAGCGCGACCGCGGCTATGATGATCGGCCCCGAGACCGCGAGCGCAGCAGGGGAGATCTAGGAGACAGAGGCCGCATGGATCGCGGAGATCGAGGAGATCGCGGCTTTGCAGACAGGCGGGATGATCGAAGGGATGATCGAAGGGATGATCGAAGTGATCGAAGAGAAGATCGAAGAGACGATCGAAGAGAAGACCGAAGAGATGACCGAAGAGATGGAAGAGACGACCGCAGAGACGAGCGCCGGTTTCCCGATCGGCGCGATGAGGGCAAGGAAGGTCGGAAGGGCGAGGGCCGCGCACGGGATCCAAAGCAGCCTTGGGAGCCCCAACCAAAGGGCATGGAAAAGCCGGAGCGAGGAGAAGGCTGTCCAGAAGCTGTAGGCCTGTCTGGTCGAGCTGCAGCCAATGCCTTGCAGGCTGGGGCGGAGCGAGTCCGCCGAGAGGTTCAGGCAAATATTCAAGCAGCCATCAGAAAGGCAATCACAGAAGGAAGGCCTATGGAGGAATGGACTGCGTGACGGCTTGATCTGCAGTTTGTACCCCTGGCCTCACCCAGCCTGTGTTCACAAGTGGAGGAGCTCCCAAATGTGGAGGTGACATATCTTCCACTTGCAGGCAGAGTTGCCCCAATGTTGCTTGCTATGTTTTTGCATAAATGTGAAGTTGGTTGAGTTTAAATTCAACTGTGGTGCCATGTCGGGTCTGACACATGCCGGCGAAGCTTGGTGCCAATAACAGGCGGGGGCTCCCACCCTTGTGCAAGGTGATTCGGCAGAAGGAAAAATCCAGTCGTGGCCGCTGGACATTGGAGTCGAAACATTTGCTTCCTTGCGATATTCAGGGGTGTTTTTGGTGGTGCTGTGGTACCCTTTTTTTTGGGGCTGTTTTCAAGCAAAAGCAAGGAGAAATCACGAATTGTGAGACAACCCACCGCTGGGACAACCCCTTAACTGTTTGTGCTTGCTTCATGCAAGCCGGCAGCTTTTGAACTGGCTGCGACATAGACCAAGTCTCCAATGCGAAGCCAAAAGAGGACGGGTATCATTTATTTGCTTGTGGATCCAAAGCTGCAAGGTCACCCTGGCCTTATGTATCTTCGGCCTCCTCGCCATGCTGCGCGGTGCCCAGGGGCGCCAGCGGCGAAAAAAACAAGGCGATCGAGGGCCTTTGTTGGGGGCCTGCAAGGATAGGATGCGTTTTGTTGTTCCTTGCTTGCGGTCCCCCTCTCCCTTGCGACATACAGGCGGGTCCGCAAAAACGGCATCCAGCTTCTCGTGGGGACGGGCAAGTCAGGCAGCAATGGGAGCTTGGCTCGGCTTGGTCATGATGGTAAGTATGGCGTAGTCGAAGGACCTTTATAGGCCCACTCTAGTTTCTCCATATATATCCAAGCTATTCTAAGCTCATTTGTGCACAGTCGTGAGACTGCAAGTTGCCTTGCACGGTATGACGGGGGTGATTTCGAGGTTTGGTATCTTGAGCAAGTTGTCCGCATGTTTTGCTGATGAGTGTTTGTAACTGCGAGTTTGGATCGCTCAGTGGTTCCTTTGCATGGATTGTTGTAACATGCTACCAATTGCTGCTGCTCATTCAAGCCAGCATAGCCGCAAGTCTTCGAGCATCTTCCCGTTCTTCCTTTTTGGCATTACTATCATATGGCTCGTGCCGTTAGTTTGGCGATCAAATGGGTGGCGAGGATGGAAAGCGCACCTTCCAAGAAGCAATTGGACAAACAGTTTCACGGGATCATGGGTCCTTCGACAAACCTACCTAGTAAGGAAAGATACACATACCAATAGAAAGTCAGGAAAACCGCAGTTTCAGCATATCGGGTTGTAAGTTTTAAGTTGCAAGGCCTCAAGATTAAATAGAGTTTCAATTGGAATTCAATTGCAATTTGATCTTGAATTCTAAGTAGGAGTTCTTTTACAAGCACACTTCTGATGTTAGTTTTATGAGACTGTAAAAAGGAAGGGCAGGCAAGCTGGTTGTTTCTTCAAGCTAGTTTATTTTTGCACTCCTGATTGAATAGCAGCGAGAAGGAAAGACAAAGTGGTTGTTTCTGCTTACCTGCCAACCTAGACAGAAACTCACATTCAAGCAGGACAACAATTGTAACTTAGTTGCACTTCTTGTTTTGCATTAGATTTAGGTAGGAGCTTAATTAGAATTTAACGAGAGACGAACAGGTCACCTAGAGAAAACACACGGCAAAACACACAAACAACTCGCAAAAACCAAAAAGACAAAGACCACCGAGAAAATCTAAAAAAAGAACAACAAAACAGGAAAGCAACTAAGCAATTACACCAGTATCGGCCCATTAGCTCGCTGCATTTGTCCACAAATTGCCAAACAGCCGGAGAGCAGGGGTACCAGGGGCAAGATGTTTGCGACCCGCTTCGCAGCTGAAACATGAGCTCAAATCAGGGTTGCACCTTGTCCTGTTTAGTATTTTTGTTTGCCCTCAAGCCAGCAAGCACAAGCAAGGAGACAAGTTGGGAGACAAGTGGGGAGAGAAAAGGGGAGACAAGTGGGGAGACAAGCCGTGAGAAGGATTTCAGCAACCAGGGAGACAAGTGGGGAGACGCGTGGGCATGCCGTGACAAGGTCCGAGCGCAAGCAGGGAGACAGTGGGAACACACGTGGGGAGCGAAAGCAAGCGCAAGCAGGGGCACAAGTGAGGAGACAGCAGGGGCAAACACTTGCGTGGCTCAGGGCAAGTCTTCGCACAGAACCCCAGCAGGCCAAGCTGTTTGAAGAACAAAGTTTCCAGAACCCGTTCAACACGAGCTCCCCAGAAGACTTTCTAACTCAATGTTTTTTTTTTGGTGTGTGTGTGTGTGCTTAGGCTCGAGATTGGATGCGGTGTTTTTTGTTCCTAGGGCCTAGGGCTGTTTTCCCCAGATAGCTGAAAGCTACAGGGGTTCTAACTTCTCATAAGGAGGGGGAAGTGATTTGCGAGATTGATGTGCTGGTGCTAGGAAGCGTGCAGTTTGGGGTGCTGGTGTAGGTGCTGATTGGGGTGCTGTTTGAGGTGCTGATGGCAGCGCGGGCGCATCTTTTCAAGATTGACGGTAGGGTGCTAGCGGGCATGCAGTTTGGGGTGCTTGTGCAGATGCTGTTTTGGGGGTGACGGTGCGCGCGCATTTTTGCATCTTGACGGTAGGACGCAGGGGGGAATGCGGTTTGGGGTGCTTGTGCTGCTAGTGCTTGGGACGCAGTTTGTGGGGCGCTGCTTGAGTGACGGTGCGGGCGCATTTTTGCGATGTTGACGCTCGGGTGCTATCGGGCATGCAGTTTCGGGTGCTTGTGCAGCAGGTGCTGTTTTGAGGGGTGACGGTGCGCGCGCATTTTTGCATCTTGACGGTAGGACCAGGGGGGGGGGGGGTATGCAGTTTGGGGTGCTTGTGCTGCTAGTGCTGCGGGTGTGGTTGAGGGCGTTTTGGTCTCGTTTAGGATCGGTCTCGCCCACAACTCACTCAACCACACCCTAAAGCAACCCTGAAGCCGCTGCTAAACCAGCAGCGCACACAACTCAGCTCCGAGCCAACCCAAACCCACTCAAAGTCAACCTTAAACCCGCCCGACAACCCCAAACCACCCCGAGACCCACCTTCATGAAGATCAAAGAAAAAGCCAGCCAAAACCCCCTTAACTTAAACCAGTCCCAACTGCCACCCATCAGAGCCAATAGCCAACCCCAGGTCCAAGTGATGTGGGTGATGCTTGGCCCGTGCGTTGGGTTTGCTCCGCCGCCCCCTCTCTGAGCGAGCAGGAAGACCACGCGTCACCCCTACAAGCCGTAACAATGGGCTTGTTGGGGTTGTGTGTTGCGCGCTGCGGTCGCCCAGAAGTTCACGCCGGAGCAGTCCACGTTGCCCGCTTGGACAAGGTGAGCGGCGAGCGTGTGGGGATGCGCTTGCCGGAGCCAACGTGGCCTCGTTCTGCGGTCCAGAGCTGATCATGGTTGGAGCTGCCAATGTTACTGGGGGCTTGATGATGTCATCCCTTCCAAAAGAGAGACTTGGCGTGAACGCCAAGAACCTGCAACAAGCCACCGCCTCCCACAGCAACTCCCACGGCAGCCACCATCGCCACACGACCGGCACGACCGCCTTCACCTCCCTTGGTTCTTATCACAAACCCGCAGTCTGACCCGTGGCGATGACAGCTTCGCAACATGGCCTTGGCATGTATCGAGCAAGGGATTCCGGTCAACCAGGCTCAGCTGGACTATGTGGCATCCACGCTCAACTCGGCAGCAGTTCCGGCAGACGGCGCCTACCTCTCCCACGTCACCCGATCACTTGATTATCGCCCTACCCCTTCAACTCCGCTGGTTTCTCCTTTACGTTCCCTCGGTGCGCCTTCGGGAGCCCGCAAAGAAGCGACGTTGTGCGCACCCGCACCATGCCCGGCTGGGATCAGGGGCAGAGGCTGCCAGGGGTGGCTGTATGGCTGTCAAGCTTGCCAAGGCAACGCTTTGCGCAGCTTCCTGGCAAAAGGCGTTTGGGAACTCCACCCTGCCGCCGCCCAGGCCGGCTGCATTTTGGAACAACTTTGATGACAAGGCCGGGGAGCAAGAGTCGTCATATAGACTTGATCAGCAAGCTGCAAAAACGTGGAGAACCAGCAGAACGAAAACTGTTGGGGTGAGCCTGCGTTTTTTCCCCGAGTTGTGTTGCAGATGGCCCCGCAGGCGTTTGAATTTCTGGCCTTTGCGCCTGCAGGGCGGCTGCTACTTGGTCTGCAGCACGGCGCGCTGCTGTTGCCGAAGGTGCCCAGCTTGCGTTGCTGCCGCCTGCCTTTGGACAGCGCTGCGCGAAGGTGGTGGGATGGATGCCAACCTCTGACAGACGCCCTCCGCCGCAAGTGTGATGCAACGCTTGGCAGGACACTGGGGCAACGCTTGGCAGGACACTGGGGCGAAAAGTGCTGGCTGATGTCGAAGTTGCTGATCTCTTGTTCGATGGCTTCATTGCCCGCCGTTTTCAGATTGGCAAAGCGGGGCCTCGAAACTGGTGGCAGCCCTTGGAGGCAAGAGGAACCAAGCGATGTTTGCTGCTTCCTTTCCGTTGCCAACCTTTCAGCGCTTTAACTCCATTGGGCTCATCTATCCTCATTCCTTGTTGTGGTGCTGTCCCACCACGGGATACGGATCGCCGACGGCTTGGGCAGCCTGAGGGTTTTGATTTGGCGGCCACGTACTTCTTGCATAAGACCTCCTGTCCACACTTCTTCTTTTTTTGGTGGCAGTTTGAATACCTCGGGGCTCTAGAAGCTACGCGTATACACACAAGCCGGGAAGAGAGAGCCTGGGGAGCTTAGAGGCCTTACAACGAAGAACTTCAAACGAGAAAGGAATTTGAGATGAACAACAAGATGCTAGAACAAAGGGACAACCTGATGATATGATAATGGTAAAAGGATCATGGCAGACAAGAGACAGCCAACTAAACGAAGCGTGCTATAATGTGAGGCGAGAAAGACAAGCAGCCGCCAGGCTAGTAAGATAAGATGAGAAGGTAGCAATGTTTTCGCGGCAAGATACGACCATCAGATAGAAAATCGTCGCAAGGAAAAGGACCACCTATCTATCCGAGGACAAAGGAGACCATTCAGACAGCAAAAGCGCAGATTTAGGCCAGCAAACCTACTAGATGTTAACATGACAATGCAAAGGAGAATGAAGGTGCGCGACTTCTCATAAAGTAAAGTACGATGAAAGTAGAAGAAATAAGCATGGCGCTGGCTCCAGCGTTTTGGTTTGGCGCAGCTTGTGACAAAGCATGTGGGCACAACCATGGCAGTTTAGGTACTATACGCAATTGAGTTGGCGCGCACATGCGCAGAAGGGAATTGAACACTTCCATCAGCATCTTTTTTCAGAATGACAGGACATGATTTTCCAAGGCTGCAGCTGCGGCTGGTGGGCCCCCCAGGGCGCCAGGAGCTAAACCAGGCGTTCCAGAGGCCGGACGGGGAGATCAAGTCTGGCCATTATCCCACATCCATGCCACAAACATGGGCGTGATCTTTTTTGTTTTGTTGCTTCGTTATTGTTTCGTGGACATGAATGCCCATTTGTTGGCTTTGTGCCTGTACAGAATGAAGGGAAGTTTGCCCTGGTGGAAATAGAGCAGGCCGATGGGCCGATGGGTAACTGTCTGATGTTTTGCTGACACTCTGTCTGGGCACTTGGTCCTTATCTTCCGGCCTGAAACCAGCACTCTATGCCAAGGACTCCGGACCGTGAAATGAGACACTACAGCAAAGACTTTTTCAGGTAAGGGTTTTGGAGGTATGAGGGTTATGTACCGCTCAATGAACTGGCATATAAGGCCTTACAAACTTATATGAGTGGTAATAGAAGCATCCCTACCTCCAAAACCCATCCCTGAACATGTCCTTTAGTATTATAAGCCATAGCACCCTAAACCGACTCCGTAGACTCACGCCCTAGCAGTGAAGCCCTCACCCCTCCCTAGCCCCGAAACAAAGAACCCAACGGCCAGCAGCCAAACATAACCCCAACAAACAAAGATGTTTGCGAACCAGGGATGGTACTTGTCAAGGAATCTTTGCATTTTGAGCCTTGGAGTTCATCGTCGACTTCTTTACTCTTTTAGCTTTAAACCGCTGATTTGGCCGGCTGTTGATGCCTTTTCTGTGAAAATGACAAGGGTCTGTTGTTCCCATTTAGGCAGCCAATAGACCTCTTCCAGCCTTTTGAGGCACCACATGCTCTGCTCATCATGTGAAATGTTTGAAGTGTTGAAGGATCAGCGGTGGCTGAGGGGGTAGGCTGGAACGGTGCAACCGCAGACAGCGTTGCGGCCAAGCCGTCCCCTGCCCGAGCGCTCCCTTCTGTATCTCTCCGAGTGCCGCACATTCTGATGGGAGGCTGGTGCATCACCCCAAGTTGCCTCCAGACGGGCCCGCGAAATCCGCGTTCACAGGCAAGGAACACGGGTGGCTGAGCATATGCGGGGAAAAGGAAGGGGTGTGTCAGTCAAAAGATGGGAGAGGCTTGCAGTTTCGAAGGAGAAAGTTGGCCAGTCCACAGTTACGGGGGTTGGTTTCGTGCCAGGCGCAGGCATCGAGGCCCTGGTTGAGGCTGATGCTGCCAGGCCTCCTGCAAGGCGCGGCCAGGGGCCTGATTTTGTATTTTTTTCGGCGGGGGAGGGGGCGGGGGATCCATTTTTAAGGGGGATTCCTCTGAGTGGCATGGCCCTCAGTTATAGAGCCAAACTTGGCATAGGCTTGTTGAAGGTCAATGAGTGAAGTGCAAATGATGGGCATATCCGATGTCCTTTTGGCACTCGGACTTAGCGGATGAACAAGAGGGGGACCCTCCCCCAGAACCAATGAGGGGTTTGGGCCATGGTCCTCTTTTGATCGCTTTGAGGCCTGCCTTGCCCGTGCCGTCCACCGCTGGAAGCTCAGCGGTCTGCCCCGCCCCTCTCCGAAACAAACAAATGCCACTCTCACAAGGATAGACAGCCCAACCTTTTGCCTTTTAAGAGCGTGGACAGTGAACAGCTGTCTTTGGGCCCTGGGGAGATGCACAGCCAGAAAGAGCCAGGGCTGCGGCAAAGCTGGACGCTTGCTGACTTGGTTCGTGAAAATTCGGCTGTGGCATTGGCGGCCGGTCGCAAGGGTGCACTTCACCTGGGGTGCCCTTTGCCAACTGCAACCCTTTCAACCCTCAGAATTATATAGAATTATTGTGTGACCAGGGATGGCGGGCAGTGGGCATCCCTGTCGCCAACTCCTGGCATTTGCCGCTGCCACCTACCAGCCCAGGCAGAACTTGCGAGGCAGCTTGCGGACATGGAGAAGGCTCAAGCGGAGACCCTGAGCGAGCACCTGAGAACCCTGCCAAGCCATCCCAGCTCGGCCTTTTCGTCATGTTGTGAAGGCATGATCAGCCAGATGTGAAGTTTTGCTGCCTATATTGCCACACTGCCTTCGAGGACTCTTGCCTACAGACCAGCCGCCCGCTCGAAGAGTGGCAAGGCGATTTTGGGACAATGGAGCTACAGTCTTAACCTGGGTTGGCTAAAGTGTTGTAGGTGGTAGCAGCTGTGAATAGGTGCGGCCGTCCGTCTAATTCTTTACATGTCTTTGGGTAACCTCCTTGAAGTATTAGGGTTTCATTGTGAGTCTTTAGACGGGGCCGGGACAGGTGTTGGCTCGCTTGCGTGGGAAGGGTCAGCTCCCGTATTGAAGATGTTGGTGAAGGGGACGCGCTCGCAAACGGAACTGGCTGAAAGCCGAGAGCCGGAGCTGACACTTCCAGTGTGCAAGTTAGGTGCTGAGGGGGGCTTTCCGCCGGCAAGCAAGAGACAAATGTCATCCATTTGGCCCACGATGGCCAGGCCTTCACATGCCGATCCTGATCACTTCTCCTTCAGGAGGGCAAGTTGTCGGGCCGACTTCTGAAGTCGGTCAAGGGAATGTCATCCTCACCATTTCGCTTGTGCATTTGAGATCGTTCGAGCTTTGTGTGGGCATGTCCACCTTTCCCTTTTCAGGGGCTGCGACTGGCATCGCCATGCTGGGACGTTCCTCGGCGAGTCCGAGCCTCAGCCGGATGGGTGTGTGGGAAGAATAGAGCTTGTATTTGGATATGCCAAGCACGCAGCGGGGAAGTCTAGCTGCTCTCTTGAAGGAATCAGGCTCGTGCCTCGTTTGAGCTCTTTGTGTGTTACGCATCTGAGTTGAATGAAGGAAGCATGTACAGTCTGGATCTGGCAGAAAGGCTTTCAAGATACATTGCCAATAGGCTTTCTGGGAAGAAGCCCTGGGCCTTAGGCCTGCCGTGTCCAGCCAGTGTGCACCAAGGCATTTGGGCGCAGGCGCTGGCAATGGAAGACCATGCAGAACGGTATCACGACATCGTACCCGTAGTGGCCATCGTGTCGTTGAGCATATCGCGAGACCTTGATGGAATGGCAATGCTAGGCTTTGACACAAACGAACTATGCTGGCCTAAAGGAAAGGTCGTCGCTCTCAGGAGCTTTGCGCACTTCATGCATGGTGTGGCAGGCCTGGAGAGAAGTTTAGTGGATGCGCAGGAGATGTGCCGCCCTCAGTGAGAATGCTTTTGCTGGAGTATGCAGCTGAATTCGGGATTCAGCTCGATATAGATGGCTGTGGGGGGACAAGAAGATTTGGATAAATTCCGCTTCCAACGAGAAGAACTTGACTTATGAAGTTTTGCACAAACACTTGCTTTGTGCTTTGCAGGTCAAAATGAGATAACACCCCGGACAAATTCCCGACAAGCCTCAGGACAGCTTTTGGCAACTTGCCAGGCAGCTTTCTGTCCTGCACTTTGTCCGGCACTTTGTTCCACTTTTTCTTTTTCTGTTCTTTGTTTGGGGGGGGGGCGGGTGTTTATGCAGCAGCATTCGCCAATGTATGGTTGACTGCTTTGCTCACCTTTGCTTCCCTCGCCCCCGTCTTGCCTGGTACCCGGCGTTCCAGGGCAAGGCTCTGCGTCGCCCTGAATTGCTTGCTTGCCTGTGCTTCCGACATTGCCTGCTGGAAAAGACCCCTTCCGTGGAGTGATGACCTGTGGAAGACTTCCGCAGGTGTGCAGATGCAGGTGCCAGGGCCATAGATACCAGTGGTTAGCAGGCCAGAAGTGACATAGCACGAGCAAGAGTTCTCACAACTACCCAGTCAGCACCACTCAGAGGTGCGCTCACACTAACAGAGGGTTCAATCAATCAAAGGTTTTATGGCGCACCTGCCGGAAGAAGCCTTGGCAGCTTGCAGACGTTTTTGAGCACAATGTGACCTTTCCTTGCTCATGGCCCGGCCGTTGGCATGTTCATGTTCGTGTGAGCGCCAGAAGCTGACACGGCTGCCGCACTGACTTTTTCTGGAAGACGGCCTGCAGTAGGAAGAAGAAAGCTGTGACACAGCAAAGGGACCCTTGCCCCGAGCCTGGCTGGCAGCAAACTGAAAGATCTTCATAGATGCGCAGACAGATATGCTCTTTGTGGTTTCCTAATATCAACGTTTGTCCTGCCAACCAGCCTTCCCAATTAATGAAAACCCCCCACAAACATCCACATGCCGCCGAGTTTGTAGCACAACTATTCGTAGCAGGGTCGTGGTGGTCGACGGTGGCCAAAGTTTGGGTCACGAGAGGAGTGCGACAAATGCACGGGACAGTTGACTTATTCTGCAACGGCTATCCACTCCCAAGCCGAAGTAAAGCACATCTGGTAAGCCACCTACAAGAAGCCAACCCAGCAGCCAACGCGTAGAACTGGCCGACATGGCAAGAGCTGCAGCCATGGATCGGAGGTTTGGACATCGGCCGCGGGCGAGTCTTCTGTGGCTTTGCTGTTCGATTTGTTTGATCTGTTCGCCTTGCTTTTGCGGCACACGGTCGGTGCCACGAGTGCAGAGAGGAGCTTCTCTCAGTGCCGCGACTGGCATGGTGCATGCCATGCTTCATGTGCTGGACATGGAGGAGAGCCTGTCCTTCTACAAGAGGCAGGGCATGCGGCTGCTCTCCAACCGAGGTGCCACGGCTTTCGTGGGCTACGGGGGGCTGCGGGACATGGCCTCGTTTTCCCTGGAGCTGGCGGCCAAGCCCGAGCTGCGGCCCGGCAGCTTCGGTGGCCTCACGTTGGCCGGCGAAGAAGAGGAGGAGCTTGGGGATCCCAACGGATATAGGGTGCAAACGCTGGCAGGGGAGCCCATGATACGCGAGATCTGCTTGCAAACTGGAAATCTCGAGAAGAGCGTGGCTTTTTACACTGAGAAGCTTGGGATGATGGTAAAATCTAAAGATGGCATGGCTTCCCAGTGCCAGTTGGGGTATGCCTCGGGTCCGCAGACTTCCCTTTGCCTGCGGCAGTCGGATTCTCCCATCGATGTCGGAACTGGCTTTGACCATTTGGTCTTTGCCACTGCGGATGTTCCATGTGCAGCGGAGACGCTGCAAGCCGCTGGGGTTCCTTTGGTCCTGCCGCCCACGGTCATGTTCGGTGTGAACATCACTGGCATTGTGGATGCTGATGGGTACAAGGTGTATTTGGTAGATGAGGCTGACTACCAACGGCGGTGAAGAGCGCACAACTCGGGACATGCGGCAGGCTGGTGAACAAAAGCGGCTGCAGTTCTTCCCACTTCGGAGTACCATGAAAACCGGTCACTTGTCCAATTGTCATCAGAAATCTGAACATCGGGATGCCAGGCAACCAATCTGCAAAAGAGAAAATTGGCGCGGTGGCGTGGTGCTGGATGCTCCCTGGTGTATTCAGGAGTATTCCAAACATGATTTCCCCTTGTTTGCGCTAGGGGACCGCCAAAAAGATGCTCGAGCAAAGGGCGCATGACACTGAGCCTTGAGGCTGCCTGCGCCGGGGTCACCTGCGCGGCACCGGCGACCCGCCCGTGCCCCGGGCTTGCGATACTTCTTGTGACCTTTTGGGCGCACCCAAAGTGACCCATACCTGAACGAGAGTCAAATTGTTTGAGAAGACAGACAGTCCTTTTGGAGGATCCCCTTCATGCCAAATAGCAGGGGAGCATGTGTGGGGTATGTTTGGCCCCTTGTTCAGTTCATTGTCAATCACGCCTTGCCTGGCGGCTTCGCAAGTAAAGCTGACAGAGAATGAGGTTGAACCCGCGTGCCGATACGAGACCTGAATCCTTCTGAGGCTGCACAGCTCGCCGCGGGGATCTCAGATGTCAGTAAATGTCCGACCAAGGGCATTTGAATTCATTTGGCTGTG